CAAATGCCACACAGGAAGACCAGCCAGTGCCCCGATGAGGCGAAGCCACGCCCCCAACCGCCGCCCTACACCACCAATGACCTGTGGGCTCGTCGCTGCAGCTTCCTAGAGGCTCTGCATTGTGGTGGCTGGGGTCACCCGGTTCTTTCCTCTGCTCCTCTCTGGGGGGGGTGCGGTTCTCCCTGTTGGGAGACTCCTGGGGCTCCGGGCCTGTGGGCCGCTGTGTGTCTGTGGCTCCGGTCCTCCCTATGTTGCCATTGTGTCCTGGGGTGGGCGGGTCTGTGTGCCCCCACGTCCACTATTGGGCATTCTTTTGGAGAAATCTGTTGGTGGTGGGCGTGCTTGCGCGGGTGTTTGGATTCAGGTGCTTTGACAGATGCACGCTAGGTTGGGTAGTGGTGGAAGCTAGATGATTCCTTGTGCCATGTCGAATGTTTCATGGTGATATTGTGTGTGGCATTGTGCTGTGCATGTTGTTTTGTCGTGGTGGTCTCTCGTTTTATCTATTTTTCTTTTATTTATTTATTTATTTATTTATTCTTCTTTCTTCTCTTTCTTTAAAAAAAAATTGAGCGATGATAAGTTCATTGAAACACTTCACAATGTTTCTACACTTAAACTGAGCTCAAAGAAGAGAAAAAAAAAAGAGGAGGGGGCGTGCCAAAGACTTCAACTTAGCACCAACATAGCTGGTTTGTTCCACTTTTGAGTAAGCTGTTTGGGGGAAGAATCAGTTTTGTGTTGTGTGTTTCCTTGACTGATGAAACCTTCCGGATGGAAGGTGAAACATTTCAGCAACAAACAAAAAAAAGAGAAACTGTTCAGATGACCTGACTGAAAATTGATGGAATGTATACCTGGATTATTGAGCATGGACTTTTTTTGGTCTCCTAAAATGTATTAATTAAGATTTTAAAAATACCAAATTTATTATAACGTCTAAATCCCCATAACTCAAAATGTTGTGAAGAATCCTAATGTTTTACTGGTGTATATTGCTACAAGTGATTTTGATTATTTAATTTTATTTTAGGACAGCTATTAGTATGTGTCATACTATCTCTTCTCAAAGACCCCTTATGAAGCTGGTGACAATCATCCCTCAGTTGCTTTTGAAGAATATTTCATACTACATTCAATAAAATCCAATCTTGGAAACTTGAGTTGGCTTTCAGGTCCGTGCTGAGCTGAGAAAAATTATTCTTCTCTTCGGATCTTCAAGTTTCCTTTAGTTACTGAATGCATCAATGACTGTCCTTTAAAACTTTCCAAGTGCTTCAGCGCCAATCGTTAATGCTGAGCGTTTTTATAATTTTGTCTGTTCATTGTGTAATTTCTGCATAGCAACAGCCCTGGATTTAGACTATTCTACAATGTCAGATCACATGTTCAACGTTACTGTCATTGCTAAAATTATCTTTGACTGCCACTAGATCTGTTTTCCCATTTTTCTACAGAGAGCTTTCTCTTTTTCTGAGAGAGCCTCTTCACTTAAGGTCTCTTATTCCTTTTTTCTGCAGATTACTTCCTCTTTTTCTGCAGATAACTTCCTTTTTCCTCCTACTGGCCTGGCCATCTGTTCAGACTTCCACATCCGGTGGTGACTTGACACATGAACATTAAGCTGTTAACTTGACCTTTTGACCATCAATTCTCTTCACTTTTTAGTCAATAACATTAATTCATTTATTCTTAATCATTAAAAATTAATTCACTTTTAATATAAGCTTTGCCTATAATCTCTTAATTTAAGCTCCACAATGTCTTCATCATTGATTGATTAAGCCTTAATTCATATAATTTCACACTCTTAAAACATAGTACATTAGAAAGACTTTACACACTGTTACATACTATTATATAAATTTGTTTCAGTAAATAAACGTTTCTTGTGTTTTCAGAAGTTTTAGTAAATAAACCTTTCTTGCTTTTCTAGAACACGTACTCAGGGATCTGTGGTTTGTACTGCTCTTAACCTTATTTAAGTCATGAAAACTGACTTCATACCTCACCTGAAATGCACATCACTTGACACCAGTGGGGTTGCCAAATGTTAACCTTTGGTGGCCAAGGCCACAATTTGCCCACTCGCTGTTTGAGCCACTGCACCTGGTGGTGGATAAGATGCTCCCTCTACTTGTCGGGATCTGTCACTCTGCGCTGCCTTAGACACAAAATGAAAAAAAAACTACCTGTATTCTCCTGCACTGTGTTATGCATGATGCACTGATTGTAATCATGTGATGTGTGATGTTTGTGTTTGTGTTGCAGCAATGGTACACCAGCAGCATGAACCTTGTAGGAACATGGCTGACTGACAGGATGGACCTGCAGCTACATGTTTATCAACTTAAGATACTCATCAGGATAATCAAAGTAAGAACGATGCATCACATTTCTTACTGCAATGTACAGTTTCACATCTTACTGTTACATTTATTAACTAAATGGAGGATATCTCGTACTGTTACATTTATTAAATAAATGGAGGATATCTCGTAGTGTTATATTATTGTTATCATATTGTATTATTATTATTATTACGTGGGTTACCAGGGCCCCACCTTGGAGCCAGGCCTGGGGGAGGGGCTCATCAGTGAGCGCCTCTTGACTGGGTCTCTACCCATGTGGCCCGGTTGGGCTCAGCCCAAAGCAGCAGCATGAGTTTACCTTCCTGTGGACCCACCACCAGCAGGAAGGGCCATAAAAGTCAGGTGCATGATGCAATGGGCAGTGGCTGAAGGCGGTGACCTTGGCACTCTGACCCTGGCTTACCAAAGCTGACTCTTGGGACATGGAATGTAATCTCTCTGGCAAGGAAGGAGCCTGAGCTTGTACGTGAGGCTAAGAGGTACTGACTAGACATAGTTGGGCTCACCTCAAAGCATAGCATGGGCACTAGAACATATCTCCTTGAGAGAGGCTGGACCTTATTCCACTCTGGACTTGCCCATGGTAAGAGGCGTCGAGCTAGTGTGGGTCTATTTGTAGCCCCCCCGACTTGGTGCCTGTGTGTTGGGGTTTTCCCCAGTATATGGGAGGGTGGTTTCCCTTCGCGTTCAGGTTGGGGGATGTTTTCTGACTCTAGTTTGTGCCTATGTGCCGAACTGCAGTTCACAGTATCCGGCCACCTTGGAGTCCTTGACAGGGGTGCTAGAAGGTGCGCAAGCTGGGGACTCCTTTATTCTGCTGGGGAAATTCAATGCCCATGTGGGTAATGACAGCGTGACCTGGATCAGTGTGACTGGGAGGAACGGCCTCTCTGATCTGAACCCAAGCAGTGTTCTGTTGTTGGACTTCTGTGGTAGTCATAGTTTGTCCATCACGAACACCATGTTCGAACATAAGGGTGTCCATAAGTGCACTTGGCACCAGGACACCCTAGGTCATAGATCGATGATTGACTTTGTAGTCGTGTCATCTGATTTGTGGCCATTTGTTTTGGACACTCGAATGAAAAGAGGAGCTGAGCTGTCAACTGATCACCACCTAGTAGTGAGTTGGATCAGATGGCGGGGGAAGATGCTGGACAGACCCGGTAGACCCAGATGTGTAGTGAGGGTTTGTTGGGAACGCCAGGCAGAAGAACCCGTCAGAGAGGGCTTCAACTCACACCTCTGGGAGAGCTTCAACCGCATCCTAGCTGAGGTGGGGGGCAAGTGGCCATGTTATGCACCTCACTTGTTGAGGTAGCTGAAGGTGAAGGTGGGGTTCTGTTTACCTCAACCAGTGATGTCATTGAGAGGTGGAAGGAATACTTTGCAGACCTTCTCAATCCCATCAGTATGTCTTCCATGGAAGAAGCTGAGTCGGGGGACTTTGGAGTTGATCCGTCCATAACTGTGGCTGAGATAGCCAATGTAGTTAAAAAGCTCAGAGGCGGCAGGGCTCTGGGAGTTGATGAGATTCACCCTGATTTCCTTAAGGCTCTGGATGTTGTGGGGCTGTCTTGGTTGGCACGCCTTTGTAACATTGCTTGGACATAGGGGACAGTGCCACTGGATTGACTTACTGGGCTGGTGGTTCCCCTCTTCAAAATGGGGGATTAGAGAGTATGTTCCAATTACAAGGACATCACTTTCCTTAGCCTCGCTAGTAAGGTCTATTCAGGGGTACTGGAGAAGCAAGTCAGAATGATGGTCGAACCTCAGATCCATGAGGAACAATGTGGATTCTGTCCTGGCTGTGGAACACTGGATCAGCTCTTTACTCTCACTAGGGTCCTCGAGGGGTCATGGAAGTTTGCTCATCCAGTTTACATGTGTTTTATGGACTTGGAGAAGGCATTCGATCGTGTTCCTCTGGGTACACTGTGGGGGGTGCTCCGTGAGTATGGGATAGGCATGGGATAGGGGGCCTGTTGTTATGGTTGTTCAGTTCCTATACAAGCTGTGCAAGAGTTTGGTTCGCATTGCCGGCAGTAAGTCAGATCCCTTCAGGGTGGGAGTTGGACTCTTCCAGGTCTGCCCGTTTTCACCAATTCTTCTCATAACTTTTATGGGCAGAATTTCTCAGTGCAGCCAGCTGGCAGAGGGTTTCTGGTTTGGTGGCCTCAGGATTCCATCTCTGCTCTTTGCAGATGATGTGATCCTGTTGACGTCATCATGCCGTGATCTTCGCTCTCTCTGGAGTGGTTTGCAGCCAAGTGTGAAGCAGCTGGGATGAGAATCAGCACCTCCAAATCTGAGGCCATGGTCCTCAACTGCAAAAGGGTGGGTTGCTCTCTTCGGGTCAAGGGTGAGGTTCTGTCTCAAGTGAAGGAGTTCAAGTATCTCGGGGTTTTGTTCATGAGTGAGGGAAGAATGGAGCGTGAGATTGACAGACGGATTGGTGTAGCATCTTCGGTATTGCGGACTCTGTACTGGTCCATTGTGGTGAAGAGAGAGCTGAGCTGTAAGGCAAAACTATCTGTTTACTGGTCAGTCTACATTCCTACCCTCACCTATGGTTATGAGCTCTGGGTAGTGACCGAAAGAATGAGATTGTGGATACAGGTGGTTGAAGTGAGTTTCCTTTGCAGGGTAGCTGGACTCTCCCTTAGAGATAGGGTGAGAAGTTCAGTTATCCGGGAAAGACTCAGAGTAGAACCGCTACTCCTCCATGTCGAGAGGAGCCAGTTGAGGTGGTTCAAGCATCTGGTAAGGATGCCCCCTTGGGTGCCTCCCTAGGGAGGTGCTTCGGGCATGTCTGACTGGGAGGAGACCCCAGGGAAGACTCAGGACATGCTGGAGAGATTATGTCTCTCAGTTGTCCTGGGAATGCCTTGGAATCCTCCCAGAAGAGCTGGAAGAGGTGGCTGTGGAAAGAGATGTCTGGGCCTCCCTGCTCAAGCAGCTGCCCCCGCGACCCTACTTCAGAGTAAGCGAAAAATAATGGATGGATGTTGTATTTTCGCCTTTATTATTAATTACAGAGGGGGTATTATCAAAATGATGAAACAATGGAAGCTTTTTGACTGTGCATGTGAAATTCATCCCTAACACAGTTATCATCACACAAATTTAAGTCCAACCCCCACCATTATAGACTCATGAACGGCTTGTTAGATTTGGTTGAAACTCACAGAAAGTAATCATCACATGTATCTCTAGAAATTATTAACTTTTGGAGCCATTTTTATTTAAGATGGCTGTCACAGCACCTCAGCAAACAAAATTGAGTACAACTATATCTCATTCTTTGAGATATTCAGCTGAAATTGAATATGGTTGTAGCTGATAGCAAATTATAATACATTCCTAATGTAAATCAAATATCCAAGATGGCCACCTTAGCTAAAAGAGAAAAACTACAATAATACAGCCATTTTTAGAGCTATTCAGATGAAATTTGTTGTATGTCGTAGTCTGAGGTTAGCAGCGAACCCAGAGTGCAGAACAGGGACTCAACTCGGCAGATATACAAAAAATATGATTTAATGATAAATAAAAGTACAAAATAAACAAGCTGACGGGGCAGCAAAACTTACATGAATAGGCACGGGGAACTCAGGCGACAAGAGAGACACGGGGAGCTCGAGGGACCAGGAAGACTCAGGACAGACTCAGGACAAAACTCAGGACAAGACTCAGGAGACCCAAGGGAGAGAACCAACGAAGACGACCCGACAAAGGACAAGACAGAATAGGGTGACTTAAATACAAGGAGAAGACGAGACATGATGACAAACAGCTGGGACGAGACACAGGTGGCAACAATGGAAACTAACGAGGAGCACGAGGGAAACAGACACACCGGGCCACAGAAAACTAACATCCTTACATTGTATTGGTAGGGAACATGATCCCTAATATACTTTGACTGATAATAAAAAAGGGCAGCACAGTGGTGCAACTGGTAGAGCTGATGCCTCTCAGCGAACAGGTCCTTGGTTCAAACCTCGGTCCAGGGGCCTTTCTGGGTGGAGTTTGCATGTTCTCTCCGTGCATGCGTGGGTTTTCTCTGGGTGCTCCGGTTTCCTCCCACAGACCAAAAACATGCATGTTAGGCTGATTGGTAACTCTAAATTGTCCCTAGGTGTGAGTGAGAGAGTGAATGGTTGTTTGTCTCGTTTGTCTCTATGTGTCCCTGTGATGGACTTGCGACCCGTCCAGGGTGTCCCCCGCCCTTCGCACAGTGATTGCTGGACATGGGCACCAGCGACCCCCAAAATGGAATAAACGGGTAAAGATAATGGATGGATGGATGGATGGATAGATGGATGGATGATAATAAAAAATCCAAGATGGCAACTTGAGCTAAAAAGGAAAAATACTATGAATCAGCCAATTTTAGTCATATTTGGTGTGGTTATAGCTGAGAACATTTCCCATCAAATGCTGCATCAAATTCAAAAATCCAAGATTTGCCACCACTGCTACTTTTAAATGGCTTTAACTCAGCCATTTGTACACATATAGAGCTGAAATTTAGTGAGGTTATAGCCGAGAACATTCTCTATAATATATTGAATCCCAATCAAAAATCCAAGACGGCCACATTAGTTAAAAAAAAAAAAAAGATAACAGCCATTTTTAGAGCTATTCAGCTGCATCTTTGTTTGATGGTATCTGATAGCGAACCCCAATACATAGTACTGTAAAATCAAAAATTTAAATTGGCAGCAGCCTGGCAGTCCCCGTCAAAGTTTCACCAGGAACTTTCTAGTTGTACTCTATTAACCCCCAATGGGGAAATTAATTCTCTGCATTTTTCTCCCATTGCATATGTGAGCACACACGTTAAACAGAAAGCTGCCATCTAAGGCACCTGGGGTGCAGCTGGAGGGGTTAAGGGCCTGGCTCATGGGCCCATAGTGGAGCAAGTCAGGCTGGAGGCAGGTGTGGGAGTTTCACCTTTTCCACCCACATTTTTCATGTTGTTGGTCTGGGGAGTTGTTTGTTTTATCAACTGCCAATGACCAATCATGATTTTTCCAGATGCACGCTCAATACCCCAGGTAGAAAAATCTAACAAAGTTAAGTCATGTCCTCTGGACAGAATCTGTCCAGAGGACATGACTTAACTTTGTTTGACCAGTCATTCTTATTTTAATAGAATGATTCCATGAACATATGAGGCATGTTTTTCAGGATAACATAAGTTTTTAAATTAGCTACAAGAGCAGTCATTTACAGTACTTGTTTTCTTCTTTATAAACTATTCTAACAAACATTTTATATAAACTGTGAAATTATGTGTAATGCCTAAATTATTGCACAATCTTCATTTTTTATCTTTACAAAATTTATATGGCTGTATTATACCATGACTAAATATTGTTTTATCAATATTCTTTCTGAATCCAAGTTTTTACTAAATTTAACTTCATTTAATAAACTTTGCAAACCTTTCTTTGTTGATGCCATAAAAACTGTGCTGTCTGCATAGAAGAATAATAACCCTCACATGCACGTTTGGCTGCCCTGTTACCCTCACATGCACGTTTGGCTGCTGTTACCCTCACATGCACGTTTGGCTGCCCTGTTACCCTCACATGCACGTTTGGCTGCTCTGTTACCCTCACATGCACGTTTGGCTGCCATGTTACCCTCACATGCACGTTTGGCTGTCCTGTTACCCTCACATGCACGTTTGGCTGCTCTGTTACCCTCACATGCACGTTTGGCCAACGGGAGGAAACTGGGGTACCCAGAAAAAATTCCCACTCATTCACTGAAAACCAATCATTTTCTGGACTGCCTTTACCAACTCTCTTTTTTAAATTTTTTCTTTCTTTATTTTTGTGGCAGAAAAAGTACCGTGACTTCCGTCTGCAGGGCGTTCTGGACTCCACTTTGAACAGTAAGATGTATGAGACGGTGAGAAACCGGCTGACCTTAGAAGAAGCCACTGCAGTGGTGAGGGAAGGAGGGATGCAAGGCATCTCCATGAGAGACAGCGAAGAAGAGGATAATAACCAATAGGTCAAAGGTCACATGATGACCAGAAAGTCTGAGATGTTCAGCCAGAAGGTGTGCTCCTTCAGAACCCAAACTGCCTTCACTTGAGGTCACATTACCCAACTTGTTTCTTCCTTTTGCATTGTTACACTTTGATTATGAAATGGTTCAAAGTTTCTGTGAGCAATGGCTGTTCATTTATTCATGCGTTCATTTCTGTCAAACTTCAACAGCACCAAACTCTGGCAAAACACAGTCAAAGTAAAAACACATTTTCACCTGACTACAAAGGGTCAAGGAGTTTATGATGTAAACACAAGCACAATTTGAAATTTGACTTTAAAAGTAAAGCAACTGAACCAAATTTATTATACCATAAATTTAAATTTTCTTTATTTTTCTTTTATTTCTGAATTTCCAACATGATTTTTGCAATAAAACAACTAACATCAGGGAGTTTTGTTGGGTGGGAAATGTTTGGAATGTGCGTCCACATGCAGTGACCAAAAACATAGTACTGAAACATCGGCAGACGTGTTAGCAGGACCATACTCATCTAACAATAATCCTGTGAACACACTGATGCTTTGTCTATGTCATTATTTATAATTCTCCTTCACTTTGATCTCTGATATGAATCTGTTTTATTTCCATCTAGCAAAGGCTGAAGATATTATGGCACACCACCAATATCCACAACATCACATAACTTCCAGTTTAATGTGTGGCTGCATCTACAGTAGGCTGGAGAATGGCTCCTTTCACAAACTGGGTTGCCATCTCACACACACACACACACACACACGCACGCACACACGCACAGAAACCCCACACACACGCACACATGTGTCTGTGTGTGTACCCTGGCCCTGCCAGACATTAGAGGAAACTCTGTTTTCTAGGTTTCTTTATTTCTTAAAAGTATACAGTACTTTCCTCAGAATGGGGTGGTTGCAGATTAATCCATGGTGGTGTACCTCCTGGCTCCTCCGTTGAGTCTGGTCGTTGTTAAAACAGTTCCCTCCACTTCATAAGATCCATCATATTGTGCTGCCTGGGACAAGCAAAATAAAAACCTCCCTTTGTTCTTCTTCACAGTGTGAATCCTGCCCACTTGAATATGTTACATCAAAAACATTTAGGTTTACTTCATTCACTGTTCAAATCCAGACCAGAAAAACTTGAAAACTAGAAACATTTGCTTTTCAAATCCCTCAATGACAGGGAACATCCTGCTGGTAAAAACAGAGTTTGAAAGTGCTACAAACATTTAGGAAAAGTATCTGGAACAAAGACCTCTTTTTATTCGATCCGATATATATATATATATATATATATATATATATATATATATATATATATATATAGTACTGCACATGCAATGCCGAAGCTAACACATTGATGGATGACCATTCACGCCCCCTTGAATTACTTGTGGTCCATATGTAATCAAGAATGCTTGAATAGACCTAATAAATCTAGTTATAAGGTCCAAACAGCACCAGTTCCAGCAGTTTATAAACCAAACAAAAAGAAAACTACTTCAGATGTTTCTAAGACATGAAGTGCAACTATGAGGTCCACATGGTGGGGTACATGTTCCAGTTTAGCACATGTTGGAATCTTTTTAGCATCATGCTCAATAAAATATTGGGTTTAAATTTTACAGCAGAGTGCTTTAACATCCTATTGTTTTAAATGTGCTGATGGAGAGGACATCCATTTTCATCCAGTTTAACTAAACACTAGATTTTTACATACATAAAACTCGATTAACTTTAAGTCCTTAATTTAGCTGCCCAGTTTGGACAGATCTACCTAAAGTATGAGCTCATATAAGCATGTCAGTTTCTATTTATTTCCAATTTATTTGCATGAACTAAGATATGTTGGTCCCTATGATTACGTGAATCTTTAAAAACGTAAAATAAAGTTTATATTAGTAATAATCTTGTAGTCATGTTGCTGTTTTTAGTATTTTATATCACTTTGTAATGTAACTGTTTTTATATAATTTTCTTCCATTATTTTTCCAATTTATATGCCTTATTTTCAGATTGTCTACTGTTGTCATTGTTGTCTACTGTTGTTATCACTCTTTGTTAAAAACAGGTCTCTCTTGTAAATGAGTCCATGAGGCTCAATGAGACTAACCTGTATAATAAAAGTTGAATGAAACAAAGTTTACAGTATATGGGATAACTTACTTAACGTGGTGTTTGTATAGTTTTCCATAAAAACATGATGTGAAAGCTTGAACTGATGTAAAACTGATCCAAGATGTCTCCCCACCAGAGTTTACAGCTTCTGACACATGACACTGAAACTAACTCCAACATTTGATTTATTTCAGTGTATTTATTAACATGAGGTGAGGACGATGTCCGTCAACTGTCTTTGGTCACACATCGTGACATGTCAGATACTTGCATCAGCATTATAATTCTGAATTGTTCTTTGTTTTATTGAAGAGATGAGTCAGTAAGGTAATAATAGATCTGTTCTTTGCTTTTGTCCCACGTTTAAAAACGTTCATATTTTGAATTTTACAGCAACTATTTGATTTTGGTTCAAAATGTTTTAATGTACTGAAATATTTTGCCACATATAGTATTTTGTGTGTGTCCTTTGATCATTTTTGGATGTATTATGTATTTTAACTGGATTTTGTAACAAATCTTTGGGCATGAAAACTGCCAGTAGTGACCTTCTTTTGGTTATCTCTACTTGTAGAGCTTCTGTAGCTGCCATCCTGTGTGCTGCATGGACAGACCTGCTGCTCCATCTCCATGTGTTTGCTCCATATGTTAACGTTCTACTGGGTTCTACTGGGTTCTTCTGGGAATTGTGGTTCTGACTCCCTAAAGACCCATAACGTACAAGTAAATATTAATAAAAATAAGTGAAATGTGTAAAACTAAGTGTTGGCTCTTTCTTTGTTGATGTGAACAATTGTGGCAAATTAAGTTCAAGTTTTTTGTCATTTGTATCACTTGGGGTGGAACAAAATTGTATACTCAGGGTCCCAGTTACACCAAAAAATAGCAAAAATATAAAGTATAAAAAGAAACAGTATTCATTCAAACTTTATTTAAACAGAAAAATCACATTGAGCCTCGAAGACTCATTTACAAGTGAGACCTGTTTGGACAGACAAAAACAGTGGTTAACTGGACACATGTAGGAGTTGGAGGCGAAAAAAATTCCTATCAGACTTTTTTCTTGGCTGAGAAAAACCCCTAATTTTGAAAAAACACCTTGCACAAACAAGCACATATTTACGTAGACATTCTGCAATAGAGCAGAGCAGGAAGAAGGAAGAGACAAGAGCGGTCAACAACACTTATAGATGCTCTCGAGGTCACTGTAATCAATCCATGTCCTCCGGTGAGATCCATAAACATTCTCGAGGTATGTCGAGGAATGGCCAAGGATAACCCCTGAGAATCCAGAGTCCTGAAATGATGACACAAAGTTTATTCAGCTGGCTCATCTGGTTATCAGTTGGAAATTCCTCAGGGAGGGGGTGGTGAGCGTCAGATCAAATTTTCTCCAGGCGAAATTCAGATAAGGTGGCCTTCAAGGACAGCCAAGGTGACCAAAATTTAGATAAGCACACAGTTGTTTTGGGGACAGGCAGAACTTAATGACATCTGCCTTGAGTCTGTGTCGGTCTACTCGGTTCTGAAATGTCCAAATTAACATGGCCACACCGATGGAACATGACTGAGTAAAAATCCCCAAGATCTGATCCATTCAGCCCAAAGCATTCGAGTCCGGGTACTCGAGACATGAAAGCAAACCATCATAAAAGCATGCAGTGTGATCAGGTCCAAATTTGCTGCTGACGACTTCCTTGATTGTAGATAAAAACCAGGACCAGCTGATTCCAAAAAGCAGGAACCAGTTATCGTGAATCCAATTAAATATGCGTCCTTAAAATCCACAGATGGCAGCAGAGAAAGACACATCATCAAGTCTTCCAGTCGATGAGATATCCAGCTGCGTGCGTGCCAACAGGGCAAATCGGCTCGCCTAAAGCCTGTCTTCTCTCGAAGAAATGCTGTAAATTGAGTTGAGGGACCAACTGGTCAGAACAAATCCATAATTATGGTTCGGAAGAAATGCAAGAGAGTCTCAGTGTGATGATTTCTAGGCAGGAGACCCATTTGGTGCAGGCAGGCAGGCAAGACTCAAGGAATATAAATAAATAATTTATTATTTACAAAATAAAGATGGCTGACGGGGCAGCAAACTTACATAAATCATGGGACAGGACGCAGGACACAAGAAGCAGGACACAAGAAGCAGGACACAAGGACCATAACAGGCATCACAGTGAGACAATGACCAGACAATGAGGGACGCAGGCAAACAGACTTAAATACACACGCACTAACGAGACTAACACAGAACACCTGTGAAACATCACAGGTGCAGACATCAGAGAGGGAGCAGACAAATGTAGAACACTAGAGGGAGAACACTCAGAAGCAGTTTCACAGACAGACAGAGCAGCAAAGCGGAGAGGGAGGGAGGGAAGCATCCGATCTCGGCTTGAGCAAGTGGTGAAGTGAGTATATAAGGATCTAAAATATACACTTAAGATACTGTATGTCACAACGAGCTGATGAACCCAGTGATGCAGGCAAGCAGGCAAAGACTCAGAATAAATATAAAAATAAAGGATATATTAACAAAACAAAAGAGCTGACAGGGCAGCAAAACAAACATGGATGATCAGGAGGCACTCACATAACAGACAGGTCATCACCAGCAGACGGAAGACAATGCCAGGATGAGGGGTAAGACAAACACACAGGCTTAAATACAAACATTGACGAGGACTAACACACAACACCTGTCAGGTAAACAGGTGTGAATAGGGTAATCAGACAGGAGGAAGCAGGACTGAGACGGGAGCAGACAGACAAAAGACAAGGTGGAGCCAGAGGCCAAGGAAAACACAAACCCTATAAAGACAAAAATAGAGGATGGGGAGAAAGCAAGACATAAACAATTCA